GCATCAAATTATTACATACTGAAAAAAAAAGTGACCCACAGAGTGAGAGAAATATTTTCAATCTATACATTTATTGATATGTAGAGAATTTTCCTAAAACTAATAAAACCTCTTTAAAAGAGCAATGGATCTGAAAAGGCATCCCCAAGAGACATGCAAATGGCCCAATAAGCACGTAGAAGTCTGCCTAATATCACTGATCCCCAGGGAAATGAAAATCAAAACAAGCCAGACAACAAATGGAAATGAAATCACATTTTCCGTTCAGCAGGATGGCCACCCCAACTCAGGAAAACAGAAATATCACATGTTGGTAAGCAAGTAGAGAAAATGGAATCCCTGTGTGCCTTTGTTGAGAATGTAAACTGGTACAGCCTCTATGGAAATTGTATTGAATTCTCACAGCACATTAACATTGCCATTTGGACTAACAGTTTTTCTGGACATACACTCAGAGGTAGCAAAGCAGAATCTTTAAGAGAGATTCATACACCTATTCATACAAATAATATGCACAGTATCTGCCACATAGAGATGAACGATTATGCAATATGTGTCTGTGCATAGAATTGAATATATTCAGTCTTAATAAAGAAATAAACGCTGGCCATGTGCAGATGAACACTGAAGATAGTATGCTAAGGGAAATTACCCAGTCACAAACTCTGTGCAATTCACATAAAACATTGCAAAATGAAGAGTTGTGGAGGCCACCGGAGATGGCTGAACAATACAGACGTAGATAGTGTCACCACAGAGTGGTTAAAATACCTAACACAGTAAACTTACACTATATATATATTTTAGATTGGAGAAAGAGAGCAGTGAGGGATTGTCTACTATACTAGATGTTTAGACATTCTATAATAATAAAATAATGAGAAATTATAGTAAAAATGGGGGAAATGGGTGAAAAGAACATACCTGATTCCAGCGATAAACCTGAATACGAAGTATTCTAATGTTAAACTGATTGATATTGAAAATTTGGAAGAAATGATGAATTATTCAACAAATGATTCAAAATTTATATGAAGATAACTATAAAACTATAAAATCACTATAATGCTACATATAGGCTATTTTTACTCTTTATGTGGAAAAACCTTGCTGATCCACTCATTACAAAGCCCATATCTGCTAAGAAAAGAAGCTAAGTAGATAGATAATACCACATAAAATGTAAAATTTTACACATTAAAATGTATAACTCGCCTGGGTAGTGATATTGAAAGAAAGCAGACAGGCTGACCAACTCAGCTAACACCTAGGCCCAGAACCAGGGCTATGATGTTGGCCCACTCCAACATCCACCTCATCTATGACCTGTTGGAGCATGTGAAGGGGATGAACTTACAGATCTAAAATTACAGGATCCCCATGATACAGGACATCAACAAGATATCCAAGAGGAGCTCCAATGAGGAAGCATTATCAACAGTGCCACAGGCGACGCCTTGAACCAGACCAATGGCTCGTGGCAATGAACCCCTGCAAGTAAAGATGAATGGACTACTAAACTGTGTGACTGGGCCATACTACAACTTCACAACAAGATTCCTCTCTCTCTCTCTCTCTCTCTCTCTCTCTCTCTCTCTCTCTCTCTCTCTCTCTCTCTGTCTCTCTCTCTCTCCCTCCCTCCCTCCTACCCTCCCTCCCCTTTTCTCTCTCTGGTTTGGTCTTTGATTTTTCTCTTAAATTTTGTTTTGTTTTGAGGGGATGGAGAGACATGTGGGATCAGGATACATGATGTGAAATCCACAAAGAATCAATAAAAGTTAAATAAAATTAAAAAAAAAGAAATATATTAAAAGCGAGGTAGTGGGCAAAGCACAGTGTGGAAGACAACACTTGTAACCAGAGTTACCCTCTATGTAATGACAGAAATAATTGCCAGAGTGTGTTAGCGCTGCGTCCGAGGCAGTAAGAGTCATTCAGTAGTTTAGGCCAGGAGAGAGCCCAAATCTGAATTCTCCACTTCCCTCCGTGTCTTCCCCCTGTCTGTGCTGTCTGTCCCTAGCAAAGGGCTTTGCTCTATATGGATCGAACTGCACAAAAAGCACAGCATGAGAAAGGAATGAGGATGTTTTAGTCATTTTTTGTCAGCGTTTGCAAGGGAAACATTTATCTTCTGACCTCTGATAGAAGAGCACTCAAAAGCCACAAACAGATGTTATCAAACTATAGCCACATATTGTTTCTAACATTTGTGGTGGATGCTTGCTTTCTTGAAGGTTTCTTTTAACCTATGGACTGCTTTCAGCAAATGATTACCATGGTGTACATACATTATTTTGAGTCAGGGATGTGGGAGACTATATAACTTAAGAATAAAGCTTATGTTTAGCTTAGGTTGTAAAACTGATTACATGTAAAATCCAAGGCATAATAAAATTGGTTACGTGGTTTCTTAAAGGCAGGTCAAACTTATACTGAGTACTCAGGACAGATTGAGTATGTGGTTTAAATGGTCTCACAGCGTATCATTAACTTGGCTGTAAGGTTCAGCCACAGTTCATTTTCTGAAGGTAAGAGTGGTTTTCAGAAAAAGCTATCCCCACACACAGTGCTCCCATAAATGATGAGGAAGGGAGGAGACTCCAACAGAAAGCCGGAATAGGAACTGAAACAGGTACAGATACAAAAAGAATACTTGTCAATGGCTATTTTTAAGAGATACTTAACATCTCTAATAATCAAAGAATACATATTATCACTGTTCTCTTTAAGAAATAGAAATTAACTCAGAAGGCAGATGTAGTCATACCTCTGTGAGTTCCAGACCAGCCTTGTGTTCAAAACCATTTCCAGGCCTTCAAGAGCTACATAGAGAGACTTTGTTTCAAAAAAAAAGAGGAAGGAAGGAAAGAAGAGAGGGAAGAAAGTAAAATAGAAACTATGGGTTGGAGAGATGGCTCATCTCTTTAAGGGCACATATTGCTGTTGTAGAGGACCCAAGTTTCAAGTTCAGTTCCCAATAGCCATGTTGTGAACTCAAGACAGCCTGTAACTGCAACTCCAGGAGGTCTCACATCCTCTTTTAGCCTCTGTGAGCACTCACTTACACAATATACTACACATACACACACACACACACACACTCACACACACACACACACACACACACACACATAATTAAAACTAAAAATAAATCTTACAAAAACAGAAACTAAGAAACTAGGGATGTAGTTCAGTGGGCAAGTGCTTGCCTACCATAAACAACGCCTTGAATTCAATGCTTAGTACTATAAATAAGTTAATTACATATATTAAAAGAAAAATAGCTGGTAGTGGTTGGGCATGCCAATAACAGAAACACTTTGGAAGCAGAGGCAGGTCGATTCAGAGTTCAAGATAATCTTTGGGTAGAGGCGAATTAGAGGCTAAGCTGGACTACATGAAACCAGCATAAAATAAAGAAAAACAGAATAAAATGAAAACTCGTAATGATAGGTTTGCCTGTCAACTCATAAAAATGCAAAAAATTATTAATGCTCAATCAAGTTGTAATGAACTAAATTTAAATACTATAGACTAAATGCAAATCAACACAGTCATCATAAATGGTAAAATAAAATCTCAGCTTTGAAAACATATGCCCAGATGGGTTATTGTATGCCAAGCTGTCATCTCTAAACACATACACATACTGCTAACACTAAATGCACTCAACAGGATGATATACGATATATATGCATATGTATGTAGGTAGATAGGTATATATGTATGTGACAATAGTTAAAGAGGTAGTCACACATTTGAGAGGGAGTGGGAGAAGTTGGAGGCAGGAGAAAGAGGGGTGGCAATGATTTAAATTGGTACCTGCATACAAAATACTCAAAATATTGAATACATACAGAGCGTGCATGAGTGCAGGTGGTCACAGGGTGTCGAAGAGGGCATCAGATTCCCCTAGATCTGGAATCAGGCTGTTGTGAGCCACATATGGGTGCTGAGAACTAAACTCGGGTTCTCTGCAGGAGCAGTATGCTTGTTCAATGGCTACACCATCGCTCTAGCCCTAGGAGTCAGTCTTCTAATCCAGGCATTCCGAATCTAGAACTCAGGCTACTATGCACAATACTATAAAAAGCCAAAAACAGGGAAAACGTTTAAGAATTTTGAAATTAAAAACCCAAGACTGATTAGAAGGAAAGATTGTCCTATAGGAAATAGAAAAAAAAGAAAAAAGCAGACAGAAGTAGTGGCATTTAGAATGCCTTGCATCACAACACTGCATAAAATTGAACATTATTCCACATGGATAATCGCTTGATCCAGCACCATTTATGAAAAAGACCACTTCACTCCATTACACTGTAGGAGGTTCTGTCTTAGGTTTAGTGGTGTGTGTGTGTGTGTGTGTGTGTGTGTGTGTGTGTGTGTGTGTGTGTGTGTGTAAGTTTCTGGATCCTTTCTTCTTATTGTATTTATCATTGTACCAAGCCACACTATCTTGATTACGGAAAAAAAGTTTAATAAATATTTACATCTGATTGCATCTTTCAGTTTTCTTCTGCATTATTTTTGCTAGATCTAGCACTTATACTTTCAAATAAACTTTAAAAATAGTGTGGTAATTTTGGAAATGTCCAATTGTATTCCATTAAGACTGTACATCAATGTGGGAAGAATTGACATTCTGTCACTGTAACAAAATGCCAGAGAAATCTGAAAAAAGAAGAAAGATCTGGTTTGAGTCTTGGTCCTAAAGATTTTAGTTTATGACCGCTTGGCTCCACCTTCTCTTGGAGCAAAGATTCATTCACATCAGCTTCGTTATTGTGTGTGCACATAAATATATGTGTGTGTATACATATATATCCTATGACTTTAGCACAATTTCTACTGTTAACTGACACTTGAGTTGCTTCAAATTCGAGCTTGTATAAATCGTGTTGCAATCACAGGTAAATCTCAGAAACACGATGTGTGGTGACTAAAAGCAGATGCAAACAAATATGAACACACAGTTTTGACTACGTATTATTGGCACTTACAGTTCCAACGGGACAAAAGTTCATCCTGGTAGAGAAGCATGGTCATAAGTTGTAGGGATGGCAGCAGGAGGAAGAAGCTGAGAGATCACATCCTCAACCTCAAACGTAAAGCAGAGAGAGAAAACTGATGTGGGACAAGGCTAGATACTCCCAAAGCCCACCACTAATGACTTGCCTCCTTCCGCAGGGTGACACCTCTTAAGTCCTCCCCAAATAGATTACCAGCTGGGGATCAAGTCTCAAACACGACCCCACTGGAGACAACCAAGTGCTCAACTATGTGGCCCTATAGGGGACACTTGTCATTCAAAGCACCACAATTCAGGCTGGGAGAGCATTGCATCCTATGCCTTGGATCTGCAGTGTCCTCCAGAGCACACAGCTGACTAATGCAATACAATAAAAAAAGCTGCTTCCCTTCCTCCTCCCCCTCATCTTCCTCTTCCTCCTTCTGTATACATGAGTTTGGCTCACCTTGTTTCTCATTCTGTGCTTCTAGTTAATCATGGCCAAAAAGATTCAGGTGCTTGAACTCCTGTCCGTCATCCAGCCTCTCAACATTGAAGAATCCCCATTCTATATCCCCTGGCTTAGTAAAGATATTGAGATGATAAGGTTTATTCAGGTAAAAACTTTTCTTCTTAATAATACCTTTAATGTTTTGGCAAATAATCATCATAACAATAAGGATTTAACTGTGATACTCCCTAGTTAAAACTCTGTAATTGCCCCTTGCTATCTACAAGATACAATCAACATCTCTTTGAATACAACTCAAAGTTCTAGCCCAAGCTGCCTCCTACCTGCCTCTCACGTCAGCTTCTGCTTCCCCATGCCATACACCCTTTATTCTGTTCATGGTGAACTACTGGTGGCGCCATACATACCACACTCTTTTCTAATTCCATTAATCTGTGGATTCTGTGTACTTCTGTAAACTACCAGAAGTAGTCAAAGAAGTAGGCCCTTGGGCTAATTTCCCACCAGAATACTTTCATGTTATCTTTCGTTTGAAGTAAGGAAATGTGCTGCCATGTTTTCCCATATGCTGCTGTACTATTAAGTACATTATATATGACAAGTAATTTTACATCTCTGCCCCCACTGTTTATCTCATTCATCTTTTATCTTTCCTTGTTGTTGCTGTTTCTGGGAAAGAATATTGCTATGTGTTCCACGATGGCTTCAAAGTCTCAATCATCCCGCCTCAGCTTCCCAGAGCTGAACCACTATGCCTTCATGCCACTATGGCTTCATTCATCTTTTGAATCCCCACCCCATCATTTTGCATAATGCGTAGCATACATTCATTGAGTGTTTGTGGAATGAATAAGTCAACAGGCCTGACTTGTTTTAATAGTATTCTTTTCAGTGCTTGTTCAGCACCAAAAGACTAATTATACTTCTTCCCTTAAGTATTCAGAGTGGATTGTTACATACTTAGTTTTTTAGAGTGACTGAAATATGAACATGTCATTATCCCCATCTAACTGTAACTTTTCACCTAGGTGAAACATTTTCATTCTCACACACTATTTTTATTTCTAGATTATTTTTCTTCATACATGTATGAGCATTTCATAGTAAATTTATACTATTCATGGTTCTCCACATTTCTCTATGTGCTGTTCATAATTCCTATTTTCTCTTACAAATTTGCAAACAACACAATCTCTTAGATCTTATTGTATATTTATCTTAAATGTATGAAAGTTCTATTAAAGTATAAACCAACATCCTGAATTACTTTTTTTTCTTTTTAGGAAAAAGCAAAAATTCTAACATTTGACTGTGGAAATAACATATTTGAAGAAGGTGATGAGCCAGAAGGAATCTATGTAATTATTTCAGGCATGGTCAAGGTAAAGGAGAGATGCTTATGAATGTAACTGAGAGCATCTAAGTTGTTTATTTTTAAGAAAAAAAAAGAATTTTATGAAATTAAGAATTAGTGATTTTTTTCATGCTATAATTGAAGTGATCTTCCTTAGGAGAGCAGTTAGCATGCAAATGATAATTTCCAGGACCAGACAAAATGGCCAACAACCTGGCACTTATCAAGCCACATGTTTTAATTGATAAGAGGAAATGACACAAAGGACCATCACTGAAGATGTAAATTCATCAATCATGACTCATCTTGTGTTTATATAAATGGGAGATTCAGCCCTTTAAGATTTATACATATTGGCCTACAGAGAGAAATCAGAAATATCCACCTTGCTTCAAAATACTCTGTGTGAAAGTCACTACTTGTCTGAGGGTTATTATTGCTCTAAAGAGACATCATGACCTGGGCAACTCTTATAAAGGAAAACGTTTAACTGAGGTGGCATCTTACAGTTTCAGAGGTTCAATCCACTATCATCATGGTGGGGAGCATGGCAGCATGCAAGCAGGCATGGTGCTGGAGGAGTAGCTGAGAGTCCTACATCTTGCAGGCAACAGGAAGTCAACTGAGACACTGGGCAGTATACTGAGCATAGGAAACATCAAAGGCTGCCCACACAGTGAGACACTTCCTACAACAAGGCCATACCCACTCCAACAAAGCCACACCTCCTAACAGTGCCACCCCCTCTGAGATTATGGGGACCAGCTACATTCAAGCTACCACATTCCATTCCCCGGCCCTATAAACTTGTAACAGTATCATAATGCAAAACATATTTAGTCCAGCTTCAAAAGTCTCAGTCTCAACAATGTTTTAAAGTCTGAATTTCCAAGTCTTTTCTGAGATTCATGCAATCTGTTAACCGTAATCACCTGTAAAAATCAAAATCGAAAGCAGATCACATACTTCCAACATACAATGGCACAGGATATACATTACCATTCCAAAACATAGGAAAGGCAGCATAATGAGGAAATACTGGGCCAAAGGAAGACCAAAACCAGGTGGGCAAACTCCAAACTCTGCATCTCTGTGTCTTCTGTCAAAGCGCTCTTCAGATCTCCAACTCCTTTCACCTTTGTTGACTCCAACACAGTTCTTTCTCTTGGACAGGTTCTATTCCCTGTTAGCAGCTCTCTTCTACAGGTATTCTGTGATTCTGGCATCTCTAACATCTTGGGTTCTCCAAGGCAATCCAGGCTTCACCTTCACAGCTTCACACAATAGTCTTTCTACTAAGCCTCCATTCAGGGACACCCCTGACATATGCCTGGCCTCAGTGGCTTTCTTTATTCATAGAGGCAAATTCCATAACCTGTTTCCTCTATCCTTAACTCTAAAGCCAGAATCACATGGCTGACGCTGCCTAATTCTCATGCTTGCTGGAAATGGGACATGACCCCTTGTTCAGTTACATCTTCACCAGCTTTTTGTCTTTCACTGCCTAAGCTTGACTGTCCTGAAACTTGCTCTCTAGACCAGGCTGGCCTCAAACTCAGAGATCTGCTGGCCTCTGCCTTCCCAGTGCTGGGATTAAAGGTGTGCCCCATCACACCTAACTCTAAGCTTTTCTTTAGTTCTTTTCACAAATTAGAAATTTAGCTGGGTGGGATCTTGCCCTGAGGTCATCACTGCCTTTATTCCATGTCTTAATCCATTTATCTCCTTGAATATAGGATTTAGCTCCATTCCACTTCCTGGTACTCTTTTTCTCCTTGAAATTTACATTTTGTAATTTACCCTGCTCGGCTTGCTCCTTTTCATTATAAATCTTTATAAGTATGAACACTAGTAACCACTTGACAGAGTCTCTACCAGGCTGTCTTGAGATTTCTTCTGCCAATGGAATTAATCTAAAACTCTTCACTTTAGCCTCAGGCAGACTCTTAAGACTAGGGCTAAGGCAATCACTTTCTTCACCAAAAGCTCACAAGAATGATCTCGAGGCAGCATACTAAAATTTCTCTCCTCCGAAACCTCTTGACTGAGCACCCCACCATTCGTCAAATCACACTCAGCACCACTATCTTCCATGTTCCTACTAGGATGGCCCAGTAAGCAGCTTTTAAAATGTTCAGCTGTTTTTCTAGTCCATAGTCCCAAAGTCAATATTGCTCCAAACAAAAACATGGTCAGGCCTATCACAGCAAAACCCCAGTCCCTAGTACCAACTTCTATCTTAGTTATGGTTTTTATTGCTGTGAAGAGATACCATGATCATGGCAACTCTTATAAAGGAAAACATTTAATTGAGGTGGCAGCTTAGTTTCAGAGGCTTAGTTCATTATTATCATGGCAGGGAGCGTGGCAGTGTGCAGGTGGATGTGGTGCTGGAGTAGGAGCTGAGAGTCCTATGTCTTACACGCAAGAAGAAGTCGACTGAGACACTGGGCAGTATCCTGACCATAGGAAACCTCCAAGCCTGACCCCACAGTGACAAACTTCCTTCAACAAGGCCATACCAACTCCAACAAAGCCACATCTCCTAATAGTGCCATTCCCTGTGAGGTCATGGGGGCAGTTATATTCAAAGTACCACAATCCTTAATTTAATAACTTCACTTTAAAGGGGGAACTATTTTAAAACGATGTGGTTACAGTGTAATTGCTAAAAGTGAAGCAGAAAAACAGCAAACAGTTTGGATGAGGTAAATTAACCAGCATATGTGTTTTTCTCATTGTTTTCTTAACAGCTTAAAACGTCAAAGCCACAGCTGGAGTTGGAAAGAGTGCCCTCAGAGTCAGATGTTAAAACTCATCCGCTATTTTACACAGAATATTTGCTCAGCGGGGAGATAATAGGAGAGCTAAACTGCTTGACTAAAGCACCGATGCAATTTTCTGCTACCTGCAAAACCGTCGTGGAGGTCAGAACACAGTATCTCTCTCTTGCTGTTGTAGCTTATTCTATGCCTGATATTAAACTTAGGATGCTTATAGTGCTTAGGGGCCAGTGGTAATGTGTATCTCTAAGTATAGGAAAGGTAAAGGAGCATGCATTATTTACATATGTATACACACTTTACATAATGCCCTAACAAAATGGTTTTAAATGTGAGCCTACCGCAATGAAAGAATTTAACCAGGAAATCTGTTAGCACATACTGACTGGCTAGACATTCACCTAGATGTATAGAGTTTAGGACTAGACAAATTCTTACTTGAATGAAGACTTTAATCTAGCTGTGTGATGTTTTATTTATGAGCTCATCACAATAAAATGATTTTTATTAAGTAAAAAGGACAAGAAAAGCTGGGCAGTGATTCAGGTGTGAATTTTATACGGCTACCTGGTTTCTCACAACCTTCTAGACCTATTTAGATGGGCCTCTGGGTTTGTTTATTTGTTCATTTGTTTGTTTTAGTAGGATGATCACATCTGCTACACTTTAAAAAACAGCTTTAGGTAATGACATAGTAAAATGCATACATGTGACATTCTGGGTAACTAGGATTTGGGTAAAAACACTAGCAGGCAATTAATTATGAAGCCACTGAACATATAGTACACCCACCCCGACCAAGCACAAAACCAAGCCCACAAAATACACGGGGCAATGTTTTCCATCATGATAAACAGGCAGGGATCAAGAGAAGGCTAAAAGCCCTGAGAAGTTAAGCTTTTAAAAAAAAAAAAAAAAAAAGCTAGTTAATTTTAACTGTCAATTTGACACAGTCTAGAATCACTTGGGAGG